GCGCGGAGAGCTGCGCTATAGACTTACCCCAAGAGGCCTGAGGATAGTAGATATTTTATTATTTTTATTTTATGTGTATGTGTATATGCCTGCATGTAGGTAAGTGCACCCATGTCATAGCATAACATATCATCTATTCAGATTTTTCTCCTGCTCCTTGAGACACTTTTAATTATATAATTTTTTGTTTGTTTTTTATATTTTATTATTTTTATCTTATGTGTATGTGTATATGCCTGCATGTAGGTAAGTGCACCCATGTTGTGCAATGCCTGTGGTGGTCAGAAGAGGCTGTTGGATCCCCTGGGACTGGAGCTACGGACAGTTGTTAGCTGCCATGTGGGTGCTGGGATTTGAACCCAGGTCTTCCTATGAAAATAATCTCTTGGCCATTCAAGTTTATTGGCATAGAACTGTACATATAATTATATTTAAAACATTTCTTAGGCTTAACATGTTCATACTTTCTGTTTTGAATGTTTATGCATATTTTCTGCTTCTTTTGTTTTGTCAGACATCTGCCTTTTGTATCCCCATTCCTGAACCATCCTTAGAAAAGCTGTTCTTTAGTGGACTGTCCTAGTTTGCTTTTTCCATTGCTGTGATAAAACACTCTGACCAATACCAACTTGGGGAGGAAAGGGTTTATTCATCTTACATCTCCTGGGTCATAGTTCGTCAGGGAGCCCAAGGTAGGAACTCAGGGCAGGAACCTGGAGGCAGGAGCTGGAGCACAGGCCGTGGAGGAATGCTGCTTACTGGCTTGCTCCCTGGCCCCTGCTCAGCCTGCTTTCTTCTACATCACAGAACCATCTGCCCACGGGTGGCACCACCCATATTTGGGCTGGGCCCTCCCACATCACACACCAATCAAGAAGATGCCCCTCAGACTGGCCACAGGCCAGTCCTATGGAGGCAATTCCCCTAACTGAGGCTCCCTCACCCCAGGTGTGTCAAGTTGACACTAAAGCTGTCCAGCACAGGTACTTATGATTCTCTCTTTTGTACTTTAAACAGCAGATTTGCTCTTATTCACTTTATTCTTCCTCATTTTAATGTTTTATACTTATTTTAAAAATTGACTCTTTGGGCTCTCGGACTGGCTGGCTGCTCTCTGTCTTGGGTTCTCTTTTTCTCCTTCCATCCTAATTTCCTATATTGTCTTGTGCTTTTGATATGCCTTTAATTATAGATTTGGTTGAAACTTTTATTTTTGACATGCTGTATTCTTGGGTTTTGTTGCTGGTGAGGCAGCCACAGATTTATTTCCTCTTTAACATTGTGAAAATTATTAGAAGGCTATCTTTAGGAGTCTTACACTTGTGCATTTTATTGACTTAAGATTTTTTCAGTATTTAGTGCTATTGGATTGTGCTAAAATTGACCTACTGATTACTTTTAAAGATAATATAGACACTACCTAAATGGAGTTTTATTAATTTTAAATATGCCATTGACTTGCCTCTGAATATTGCCATTACTGCCAAAGTGACTTTCCTAATTACACTTACAAATCAATTTTACTTTTCTGCTTAGGTTGGAGATGGTAACAACTTACTCCGAAAGGTCTGTGTCAACGAAATCCTCTCTCCCATTAGATCCATTACTAACAACATCTGGATCAGGCTGAAAATAGATCCTTCTGTCCAGAAAGCTAGTTTCAGAGCTGCTTATCAAGTTGGTAAGGAAACTTCTGCTTTGTGTGTGTGTGTGTGTGTGTGTGTGTGTGTGTGTGTGTATGCTTGTTGGTGTCCACATACGTGCAGCTGCCTGTGCATGTGTGTGCACATACAGAGGCCACAGACCAGATCCTGTGTGTGTGTGTGTGTGTGTGTGTGTGTGTGTGTGTGTGTATGTTTGTTGGTGTCCACATATGTGCAGCTGCCTGTGCATGTGTGTGCACATACAGAGGCCGGAGGCTGACATCAGGGGTTTTCCTCTACCTTAGTTTTTGAGACAGGATCACTCTCTGACCTGAGGCTCACCCATTGAGCTAGACTGGCCAGCCAGTGAGCCCCAAGCATCTGCGTGTCTCTGTGCTTTTCCTCTCCCATCCCCTCAGTGCTGGGGTTACAGACATACACCACTGGGCTCAGCTCTTACATGGGTGCTGGGGATCCAAACTCGAGTGCCCAGTGCATACTCAATATGCATTATTGAATAAGCCATCTCCTTAGTCTCATCTCCTTAATCTTTAGTGTCAAATTTACCTGATTCTAACATTTTAATTTCTTGAAATATTTTAATCATTTTATGTTGTTGAGTAACAAGGAGGATACTTCCATAAAACTATTGCATTCTGCTATTTCCTTATGCAGAATTAGACATTGCAATAAAATTGAGGGCAAGAATTATGTATAGATAAATACAATCATCATTTTTGCATTTGCAGCTTGTGGGGGTGAATTAACTGGAGAAGGAGTGATTCGCTCTCCGTTTTATCCTAACATCTATCCTGGAGAAAGAACCTGTAGGTGGACCATCACCCAGCCCCAGAAACAAATTGTTCTTCTCAACTTCACTGACTTTCGGACAGATGGTTCTGCCTCTTGTGATACAGATTATATTGAGGTAAGAGTGAGACTCCACTAAATATTTCCAAAGGTACTGCATCGTGTTTTGCTCAAACCAGTTATGAGGAACAGAAGTCATTTGTACAGACCAGTATCTCTTATGAATGTAGGTATGGAATTTCCTAACAGAACACTACCTAGGAGAATCCAGTATATAGGTAGGATTATACATCATTACTAAGAGAGATTTATCCCAGTAAGTCGAGATTGTTATTACATTAAAAATTCAGTAAATGTAGTTATACATTATAGAATAATATCAATAAAATAAAAGTCAACAACATGTTCACATCAATAGAATACACAAAAAGCATTGACAAAAATCTACCAGCTTCTTATCATAAAAAAACATTTAGGGGGAGGTGTAGAGATGGCACAGCGGTTAAGAGCACTGGCTGCCCTTGCAGAGGACCCAGGTTTGATCCCCAGCACCCACATGGCAGCTAGCAACCATCCCCAACTCCAGTCCCAGGGGAATATGATGCCTCCTTCTGACCACCACAGACATTACATGACACAGGTGCACATGCAGGAATATACTCATACACATAAAATAAAAATAATATTTTTAAAAACATTTAGGGAGACGAGAGCCTTCTTAATTTGATATAAAGCATCTATTTAAAAAACCATAGCTAGCTGGGTAGAGGCAGAGGCAGGCAGATTTCTGTGAGATAAAGGCCAGCCTGCTCTACATAGCAAGTTCTAGGTCAGCTGGGGCTATAGGAAGACTTTGTCTCAAAACTATTCTCCCCAAAACCCACAAAAATCTGGGAAAATGATGATATGCTAGTAGATGAGGCACTTGTGAAAGAAGATGTCCAAAGCACTCGTCATCAAGGAAATCAAAACCACAGGGGGTACCACTAAGATGGCTATAATCAAGGAGTCAGATAATAAGCAGTCCTGGCAAGGATGCAGAAAAACTGGAACCCTTATACACTGTGGGTGGAAAAACAGCTGACAGTTCCTCAGAAAGTTAAACATAGAGTTATCAATTGATCCAGCAATTCTGCACAGATGAATACACAGTGATAATAAAAGGATATATTCACATGGATATGCCTGTAATCATTATTTATCTCAGTATATGTAAATAGAAAATACAATAATTGTTTATAAGTTAAAATAGAAACTTAAATATATATCAAATGATAATTGGAAAAATCAAATATAATATGTAGATAGAATGGAACACTGTGTGGCATTTAAAGGAATTAGATGATCATATATACCTCAGTATGGATGAACTTTGAAAACACCCCGTCTCTGACCCAGCTTTATGTCCTTTATTTTGCTTTGTTATTGCTGACCCCGAGTTCACTTAGTGCTGCCCATGTGAGCATGGGTGGCTTGACTACCGACAAGTGGGCAACCTTCCAGCAGCCACATTCCCCAAAGACAGTGGTTCTCCGACTCTGAGCCACCATCAGTTGCCAGTAGCTCTTCTGCCAACAGTGGCAGTTTTCCAGAATATGTATCTAACAAATATAAACCTGGATATCTCTATTTTTGTTCAGATTGGTGCCAATTCCATCTTGGGGTCCCCTGAAAATAAGAAGTATTGTGCCACAAACATAACTTCATTTATAACATCTGTGTACAATATTCTTCATGTGACATTTGTGAAAAGTTCTTCTACGGTAAATCATGGTTTCATGGCGAAATTCAGCGCTGAGAATTTGGGTAAGAGACTGCCTCTTTCCCCTTCTATGCCTGTGTCAGAATAAGTGGACAATAGAGCTGGGAATCTTTACCTAGCCTGTGTAAGGCCCTGGGTTTAATCTTCAGCTCGGAAAAAAAGTTCCCCACTGTAAGTGAACAAGAGAAAGAAATTGTTTTAAACATCAGTCATTCTATGAAAATTATGACGAACACTTAAAAACATAGACTCTGCTTTCAATTAACACTTATCAGTAGCCATTTCATATCTCTTAGTAAGAGAAAAGCTGCATTATTATAAACAGCATATAAGAAACCGCATTGTTTCTTGTGAGCTTTTAAGAGATTGTGATAAGCACGTTTGATTTTGGAGCGCAGGTAACTTATTCGTTAACTGTTGTAATAATTATCATTACTATTTTATTTCAACAGTGTGTGGAGAAGTTCTTACAGGACCAACTGGAACCATTCTAAGTCCTGGCCATCCAAACAACTACCCCCATGGTGTTAATTGCACCTGGCACATCGCAGTCCAACCTGGCCAACTGATCCGGCTGATGTTCGATGAATTTCACCTGGACTTTCATTACAATTGCACAAGTGACTACATAGAAGTCTATGATGTTCTCTCTGATATATCTCTTGGGAGGTGAGAATATTTTGTTTTGAATATGCTGGACTTGGAAGCATAGCACATAGTTTTTGTATAGAGAAGACAAAACTGGTGCAATACTACACCATTGGACGTCTGTTTCCTCTGGTTTATTTTTGAATTGACAAGGTATTTTTACCTTATATTCCATTATATTTTGAAATAAGAGTAACACCACAAAACATTCACTTTGGATATTTTTTAAATGCCATCAACTATAGCTACCTTGATGTGTTATAGATTTCTTGAAATTCCTTCTCCTTTTCAACTTTAATTACATATCCTTAACCAATATCTCCTCTCCTCCCTCCTGCTTCCCAGTTAGCGTAGCCACTTGTATTTTTCTTAGAATCCACGTATCGATGAGATTGTGTAGTACTTGTATTTCTGTGCCTGGCTTATTTAACTTAATATGACATCCGCCAACTTTACCAGTGTTGTTCCAAATGGCAGGATTTCATTCTTTATCATAGATGAATAGTATTCCATGGTGTATACCACATTTTCTTTATTATTTTATCTGTTGATGACACAGGATGTTTCCATATCATGGCTATTGTGTATAATGATGTAATGAACAGGAGAAGACAGTTTTCTGTTCCACATCCTAATTTCATTTTATTCAGATATAATCTCAGGAGAGAGATTTCTGGATCATAAAGCAGTTGTATTTTTAATTTTTGAAGAACCTCTATGTTGTTTGTCATAATGCTATACTCATTTTGTATCCACTAACAGTGTATAAAAGTCACTTTTCCTCTACACACTCACCAACAGTTGCTAGATCTTTGAGCATAGCCATCATGCCAGGTGTATGCTAGTGTCTCCAGGGGTTTTGATTTTGTGTTTCTTTGATAATGAGTAACCTTGATCATGTTCTCATAGACTTATCGCTCATTTCTCTGTCTTGTTTGGGGTCATACCTGTTCTGGGGTTTTGCTCATTGTTTGATCAGATTATTTGCTTCCTGTTATCATTGTATGAATTGTTTTTCTATTTGTTGGTTACTAACTGCCTGTCCAATGTATGGATCACAAATAACTCCCATTTCCTAGGCTAGCTCTTCACTCTGCTGTTTCTGTAGCTGTGCTGAAGATTTACAGATTGCTACAATCCCGTTTATCTGTTTTTGCTTGCTTGTGCCTTTGAGGTCTAGTCCATAAATATCTTTGTCCAGACCGACACTGTGAAGCGCTTCTCCTGTTTCTTCTCCTAGTCTCACAGTCTCGCTCCTCTTGTTAACCCTTTCACTCGCTTAGAGTTGATTTTTTAATTTGGTGAGACATAAGGATCTCTCTTTATTTTTCTGTGTCTTCATTCAGGTTTCCCAGCACGTGGACCATGTGATTGGTATATCCTGTATGTCAGCCTTCAATATTAATTTTCCTGTAGCTTCTAAATCTATGTTATATGATTATAATTACTTTAATATCATTATTTGTTCAGTGATTATATGATTTCTGGCTATTTTAATTATTTTCTCATTGTACTTTCTCATTGTACTTTCTTATTTGTTTTTGTGGTTGGTAGCATTTGATAGACGTTTGGGACTTTTCATTTATATATTTTGAGCACCAGTTATTACATATACCTGTCAATCAATGTTCTTGAACTACATCCTGGAATGCCATTAAGTTCTTGAACCTTGGTTTATTCTTTCAGTTTTCCCTTTGACCTCATTCTTTCCTGTCCTTGAAGAGTTTTCCTTTCTCACTTGATGCTTAGTGACATCTATTTATGTATTTCTCCTGAGACTTTGGTTGTTTTCAGTACGAAGTAAAACCTAACCCCTGTTACTATGTCTGCCTTGGAAACAGAGTTCCCTAATTGCTTTTTAAAAAGGATTTCTTCTTATGGTCTCTTTTCTTTTTGTCCATTAACTTTGCAAACATTTTCCTTTTCCAGTAGTCTCTTGATTTTTTTCCTTCTGATGTTATCGCCTCTCTGCTCTTTTATTTTTTACCTCAATATTTCATCTTTTAAAACTTTCCTCTTTTTTTATGTTGGTTGAAAGGAGCATATGGGTACTTTTAACCATAAGAAATATGATTTTTTCTGAGGGACATAAATGATAATGATCATGTCAAATTTAGTGTTCATAGCCATATATATACTTTTAAAATTCACCTTCCTTCCTATCAAGATGGTTAATCTTTTCTAATACTAAAATGCTATTTTATACCAAATTTTCTTTCTTTAACTCCCCTACTCATCCAACATTTCTTCTTTTTTGTTCCTTTATCACTTTTTTTCTCTGCCATTCCCTGAGTGCATTAGCTCAAGATCCCTATTTTTCTAGGGTTTCCTTCTTACAGGTGTTTCTCAAAAAAAAAAAAAAATCCATAGCATAATGTCATTTGTGGTAACTGTATTTGGAGCTTTACAACAATAGATTATCTGAGTAAAATTGCCTATGTTCTGCAAAAGAAAAAAAAAGTGACATGATTTAGTAATCAAACTTTTACCTCTCCATAAGTGAGCTGTTTAAAGACAGTAGGCAATTTATATAAGGATTGCTGTTGTAGGCCCTTTTCTAAGTGCTCATATACAATATATTAACTGATCAAAATTTTGAGACCTATATGAGGGAGATGGAAAAAATGAGGCAGAGCTACTGAGCAATGCACACAAGTCATAATGTCTGAGTGACAGGGATGAGCTGAAGCAGTGATAGATGAATTTAGGAGGCACTGATTTCCTTTAGTGCAGTTCCATGGACTAGTTCATCAGTATGCTACATGGCATGCTAACGCACCTTTGCTGTCTACCTTCATTAAAACTCTCAAATATATGCCATGCCACACACACAATCCAGTGAAAGAATCATCAACAGGATGATCTTCAACAAAGTTATAAATATTTTGACTGAAAAAATTTGCTTTTCAGGTTGGTAGGAAGTTGATAACAACCCATCATCATATTCACATATTGTAATTTTTGGATTGTCAATTCAAGTCTACTAAATGTGTAAAACCTGTGTATCTCTTCTGTCTTGGTTTGAAATAGATATTGTGGAAAATCCGTCCCACCTTCCCTTACCAGCATCTCCAACTCGGTGGAACTGATCTTTGTGTCTGACTCTGACCTTGCCCATGAAGGATTTTTAATAGAGTATGAAGCAATTGATACATCAACAGGTAACAAAATGTCATTTATGCTTGGTAGCATTTGCTCTGTTATAAAAGAGTACTGATGTCTAAAATACACAAAGAATACTTCAACCCCAAACTTGCGAAATGAAAGTTATATTTGGAGAAAGTTTAGTGATTTGATATCTTTCTCATTAAAAATAGAGTAACTCATCCCAGCACAGTGGATCGTATAATCCTAGCACTTGGAAGGTTAAGACAGGAGAACAATTCTGAGCCAGCTTTAGCTACATAGAAAGATCCTGTATCAAGAGCAGAATGATTGGACAGGTGTTATATCAGTATGAATACTAGTACTGTATTGAATCAGTATTTTATTTTTCACGATATTAAACTTTTTTTTTTTTTTTTTTGTTTTTTTTGAGAGGGGCTCCCCTGGTCGCTCGTGTTTCTCGGGAGCTTTTTTTGTAGAGAAACGGGGTTGGCCTTTAACCTCACAGAATTCCCCCTGCCTCTGCCTCCCAAGTGCTGGGATTAAAGGCGTGCGCTACCACGCCGTGCTAAACTTTCTTTTTTCAATTAATTATTTTTTAAATTTGTTTTTATTAAATTTTGTTGTATTTCATACAGAATATCTCAAACAATCTGAGTTATCTTTATAGCCACATCCCCACAAGCACCCTCCATTAGCCCCCACCACCACTGGAACCCACATGCACTGTCCTGGGTGTTAAGTCCCACTGTGTCAAGTCAGTGTCCCAGACATTCCCAAGTACAAGTCCATCCACTTGCGGTTTAGTCAGATCCCTCTCATTTATCTAAGCACCTATCGTTTTCTCTTTCTTTCTTTCTTTCTTTCTTTCTTTCTTTCTTTCTTTCTTTCTTTCTTTCTTTTTAACAGAGCATAGGGTGGGGGTTTATTTACAGAGGAGTGGGTGGCCCCCATTTATGGCTGCACTGGGAAGTCCACACTCAAATACAGACCCTGTGACTTCCCGAAAGCCACAGAAAATGGTGAGAGAGGGGCCTCCTGGCATTCTTGGCTTTTATATCCTTAGCCCCTCCCCCACATGTAGCTAAGATCGACTGATTGAGTGGGAGGGGTAACTGACTCCCCCCTTGACTCCTTGATGAGTGTGAGAAGGAGGTATGACTATAGCTTGCCAGCATAGTGGTTGGAGTATACAGTTAACACTCCACCCCTTCCTCTGGCCCTTGCATTCTTTCCGCCAACCTCTTTCACAAAAGTCCCTGAGCCTTGGAGGGGGTGGTAGGTGTGGGATGATCTTCCTCCTATTGTGGCAAGGCACTGAACTTTCAGGTCTCTGCATCGTCAATTTCCCAGGGGCTGTTGGCCCATTTCAGTGGGTCCATCAACTATAAAAGCACAAGCAGCAAGAAGCAAGAACATCTAAACAATGACTGCTATAATAATGTAACCTATGGGTGTAAACACAAATGCTTGGCTGGTACTTTGACAGGTGCATCACATCCGTCTAACAAACAATTACAGTGGCTTCCCTCTGGAGCCTATATTCTCCCTGCCACAGGGGATTGATCTCGTCTACAGTACCGGATATGTGTTCCACCCCTAGAAGTGGGCATTGTATCCAATCGAAAATTTGCTGGTTATACATACACTAGACGCTCCACTATTGCACCAGCAGGAGCATCTTGTTTGGTATGTTATGTTGATAGTGCAACATGTGGGGTCTGTCAATGAGCAGAATTATAGGGGACGATTCTCCCCCAGTCATCTGCATATCAACTTTTGGCACCATGAAAGCCACCCATCCAGTGGCAGGGAGTTTCCAGCTTAGTTCAAGCTTGATTTCTCCCTCTCCTGTGTGCATATCAAGTAGTATCTTCAACAACAGGGTGCCTCTGTCCACTTTCAGTATACAACCAACAATATTCACAATGGCCTTTATTGTTTTGGGGACCTCTAGTGTCCCTCAGGACAACAGCTCATGGGGGGCAATCCACCTCCGTCTCTGGGATTTTCATTTAACAATCATATTGCTTCTGGAAGGGCTTTCTTCCATCCCAGTAGGGCTCTTTCTGTGCTTAAGGCTTTTTATTTTTTTTCACTGTGTATCTGGAGAGTTTTTTCCCCTTTATTCCCATAGTTCTTTGTATAGTCCTCCTTCCCCCCTCCCCTTTAACTACCCCCTTTTTAAATATTTCTCCCTTAGTAACACCTTTATCCTACTATTATTCTCTCTTAGGTTCCTTCTTTCCTTTTACCTCCCTGTTTCCCTTCCATATTCTTGGTCCCTGCAGCTGCATCAGGATATGAACTCACTTATAAGGATTTGGTGCTAGGATTCACAAATGAGGGAGAACATATGTCTTTTGTTTTTCAGAGTCTGTGTTACTTCATTTAGTATAACAGTTTCTAGATCTATCCATTTAGCCTGCAAATTTCATTATTTCATCTTTCTTTACTGCTGAATAGAACTCCGATGTGTAAATGTACCACATTTTTGTTAACCACTTGTCAGTTGAGGGGCACTTGGGTTGCTTCCATCTCTTAGCTATTGTGAAAAGAGCAGCAACAAACATGGTTGTACAAGTGTCTCTACAATAGGCTGAGTCCTTTCAGTATATACCAAGGAGTGGTATAACCAGGTCACATGGCAGGTTCATTATTAGTTTTTTAAGAGTTCTCCACACTGTTTTCCATAGGAGTTTCAG